GTATATATGTCACAAGAATATCAGAGCGCAAATGCGAAAGAAAAAAAGAAAGAAAAACAAGGAATATATCGTCACATAACTATGAACGAAAAGAGCACACTCCGCGAAACAAACGGTAATAAATAAAAATAAAAATAAAAATAAATAAAAAAGAGACAAACATGAGGGGCACACTGAAACCATTCATTTTTCTCATTCCTCTTGGACTCCCCCTATACCGAGCCTCTCACGTACCAGGCTTGCCACGTTGATGAAGTTGAGCGCGAGCTGCCCGCATCCCCGTGTGCCATAACAGTCCACTTGTACACTGTGAGACAGAGGCAGAGTAAAAGGCGAGGTGATAAACACAGGGAAGGGAGACGAAGAGAAGACAAACAAAGAACGAAAAAAGGAGAGTAGGGGAAAGTACGGATCATGGAATGAAGACCGAGGCAAAGGAGAGGATAAGAACAGGGTCTGAGTCAAGAATGAGTCTGTCCTTGACGATAGAGAGGACACACATTTTACGGATGAGGTGGATGGGTCCACATTGGAAGACATAGCTGGGCACTCTCAGCACAACGATTGCCACGACGGCTGGCATTTTTTTGAGAATGCCCACCATACACTCCCAACAAATGGGATGTCAATTACAGGCCAAATTGAAGGAATACCTCACCACAAACCACCATGCATTCAGTATAGCAGCCCGCAAAATGGACATTTTGTCACAGATAGTGTCCAGATGTGGAGGGTGCCCACAGTCAGGAACCGAGGGACAGTGCTCTACACACATGGATGCAGAAACCATGTCATTGTAGTGATTGTGACAGAGGCGATGGCGGCTACAGCCGAGTGTACCAGTGTCTGTAGCTGTGCAAAGGAGAAGGTTGCAGAGTGATGGTACATCGTCCTGCTGCAGCGTGGGACCCACGGAATGAATGATCTTCAACATAAAGGAGATGGCGGACAGTTTGGTGTGGCAAGCAAACAGCATCATTATGCAAGAAGAAATCAGTAACATCAGTCAAGGCATGGACCACGACGCCATTGTCCCACAGGTCCCAATGGTCAGAGATGGGCCATGGCAGGGAACTGTTGTCCCACAGGTCCCAATGGTCAGAGATGGGCCATGGCGGGGAATGTGCCCACTTAAACAATTTTTCACAAGCAAAAATACAGAGGAAAAAAACAGCATCATAGATTGAGTGCTGATCTTCTCCAGGAAAATATTTTGCAAAATGAAATAAGAAGTCCCTTGATGACTAGGCTACCAGAGGAGCCCCAGGCCGGGCCAAGAAAAAATAATTTTTTATTTATTTTACATTTTAGTTTTTATTTTGAAAAGAATGCCGATGTGACCCTGAGGCAAAAGTTGTTCAGTTTTTTTTTTT